TTTTTTTCGTTTTCTGATTTTCACAAAAAGACAAAAACGTTTTTGGTTTTGTTTTTTAAAAAAAATTACACCAAACACGTTTTTAACACCCGTTTTCATTTTTTTGCTTTGAAAACCGTGAAAAACGAAAACGAAAACACAAACAAACAAACAGGCCCATATGTTTTTTGATTATATGGAATGGAAACTGCAAGTGGACAAATTTTATCTGAAGACATTCTTTTTATAAGATTCAAAAGTGAAATAAAAGGATTAGCCAATTAAAAATTAGCTTCGCAAACATTAACAATTAACTTTTTCTAAATAGAGGAATCTCCGAATTCCGATCTAGTGTAGGAAAGTGGGAAATTATCTTCAAATATATATTACAACGAAATATGCTTGCTGAAATACAGGGAAAGCAGCCTAGTTAAACAGTTCTAGCTCATTAAGAGTTGAACGACAATCCAGAGGACTTGATTGTAGACGCAACATTGCAGTAATTTTTCTGTTTCACTTCTTCCTCTTCTTTGGGGGCTGAAGAGCCTCCTCTTCTTCATCATCTTCATCATCAATTGGTTCCTGCTCTTCTACAATATCTTCTCCCTCATCATCCTCTTCATCATCCTTATCTTCATCATCCTTATCTTCATTATCTTTATCTTCATTATCATCCTTGTCATCACCGTCGTCGTCATCATTACCACCGTGGTCATTACCATCTTGGTCATCTTCATCCTCTCCGTTTTCTTCGCCATCTCCTCCACCATCCACTCCTCCAGGGCCTTCTTTGGAATCATTGCTGTTTCCATTAGGGTTGTTTCCAGCACCTCCTCCCTCCTCAGAAGAAAAGTCCTCCTCACCATCTCCCAAGCCGCCGTCCCCACCACCGTCGGTGTCATCACCGTCTCTGTCTTCCCCGGTTTCCCCAGCATCAACTGCTTTGCCCTGGTACAACTCGTAGTAGTCTTCCCCGCTTTTGGGTCCAGTAAACGTTGACATCCCAAATGACTCCTGAAACCATATGATGAAAAACTCGAGCTTGGACGTCAAGGAAGTTTTTAAACGCAATATAATCAGACGTGTTGATATTTTTTAGTTCAATCTCGCTAGGGCGAGTTGGTCACATGGAAAAACGACAACAATTAATCAGAAAAGGAGGACAAGGAACGATCTATTCAATGGGCATAGTTGGAGAGTTTCAACGTGCGAGAGCTTCACACAATCTTTACCTAAAAAAGTTCCACAAGAGTTATCGGCAGGAATTGTTGTTTAAGATATTGAATTACTTTTTTAATTACATGATCTGTGAGTAAAGCAATTATGTGTTATGCGTAATAAATTTTTAATGTGTACATTTACATATCATATGTTGAAAAATTAATTCCGTCATTAAAACAATGGTTCCTCCTAGGAAACTAAAATAACAGTTATAACCATAAGAGTTCCAAAAAAAAAAAAAAGGACAAGTAGGTGTAGAAAATAAGAGAAAAGATGCATACTGCTAATTGCCCCCTGTTGTATAAAAGACGACTACATAGACCACAATGTGAACCAGCAAATACATATTCATTGCTAGTTGAAATTTGTTTTATCGATGAAAAAAAGGTAGTTGAAATTTGTCAAGATTTCGTCGTGCTGTTACATGGACAAAAAAGTGATAATGGTCTAAATTAGATTGAGACTTGAGATTCCAAAGTGTTGGGAGACATCGACAGTGATCCTAGAAAGGTTATATTTGTTGTGCCATAGAAAAAATTTGAAAAGAAAAGGGCATAGGTGTATTTGCATTTTGCACTATCTCATTATTATTATTATTATTTAACTATTTTCGAGTAGGGACGACTTAAGTATTTACTGTCTGAACGAGATTATTAAAAAAAAAAAAAAAGTCTTAACAGAGCAATCGAATATTCGAATGCTATTCGCTTCCCAATTACTAAAAAAAAAAAAAAGAAAAATCTAAAGTTAACCAAGTTGCATACCGCAAAAGAAAAACGAAAAGAAAAAAAAAAACCCACCTTAATAAAGATATATTTTCATTTTTATGGAGTAAATGGAAGTATCGTTTTCCTCCTTTCTTTTTGGGAAAGATCAGGGCCAACGTTGGGATTATATTATTCTCCCAAAACCGGACCCACCGAAATAGTGAGTCCACACAACAACCATATCTATGTTTCACTCGGTTCTTCATTTCTCTCCATCAAAAGAAAAAAAAATAAAAAAAAATAAAATACAAAAATCCAACTACCAAAATAATAATAATAATAATAATAAAATAACGTAACATCACAACAAATATGACATAATTTCCAAACTGAGAAAAAAAAAATCTCAATTATCAACTCAGAAAAAGAAAACATAACATAATATCCAAACCAGAAACAATAATACAAAAGTATTATTTCAAGGAAATTTTATTATTTTTTTTAACGTAATTATTCGTAATTTATGAAAGAGAGAAGATAATCGAAGCTTACTTGGGCCGAGGAAAAGAGGGCCGTAAGCAAAGCTGAGGTAAGCAAAGTGGTGGTGGCTTGAGTAGTAATAGTAGCCCCGGCGCACGTTAGCATAGAGCCATGGTTTTCCGTTTTGGTCTCCATTTGTACGGACGCGACCCTGTCAAGTGCCAAGCAGACAAGATCACTCACTCACCGTCAGATCTGTTCCCCTCTACGGTCCCACCGTTAGATCTGGCCACTAAATCACCAAAAACTCACGCAAAACAAAGGGAAGAAAGAGAAAATACAGAAGGAGAGTTTTTTTTTCTTAATAAATAAATAAATAAAACTTGGAGCTTCGGTATATGAAATAGTAGAAATCGGGGAAACTCTAGAGAAGAAAAACAGATGAATTTGTTTTGCTTCAGATCTAAGAGGAAAATGTTCATGAGAAAACGATAAATATTGTTCTAAAAGCGAGAATTAGAGCAAAGAAAGAATCTACGTTAGTAATTGAAAGGAAAATGAACGAGAAAGCAAAGGAAAGTGCGGGAAAATTCGTAAGCGTAGAACCTGAAATTCACCTGGAAAGGGAAATTTCGTCGTACCTGCTAATACTGTGGAAGAGAGAGAGAGAGAGAGGAGAGAGCGAAACCAAGTGAGAATTTTTATCGTAAAACACGAAGCTTTGTTCTACTCGCTGGCCAATTCCAAGAGTCAATAAGCTAGCGTTGAAATAACTATTGTTTTCAGCCGTCAGATTTTGATCTTTCCTCTCCTGAGGAAAGAACCTTTCGGCTAGAGAGAGAGAGAGAGAGAGAGAGAGAGAGAGGAGTGCCCGAACAGTTGAAGTCAGTGAGAAGAAGGCCAATTGGGTTGGGTGCAGTGACAAGGTATCGTGATTCTCAGACCTCCACGCGAGTTTACCAAAAAGCCCTTCTGTACGGTATGGGAAAAGAATAAGAATTCATATCTACCATAGGTAAAAAGAATTCTTCTCACACCAAGCCTTCTCTTATATTATTGGATTACTCCTCTTGTCGCGATGAGATTTATCTACATAGACAGGTGTCTAACATAGGGCTTATTTAGACGAACTCACTTTTGTGTCTAATAGGACAAATAAGACTGGTCTTTATTATTATACTAATTTGAGCGACAAAAATGCTATTTATCTTGTATTTTTCTTTTTAAATTTCTATTTGAAATTATTAGTATCAAGTATGATTAATAATATTTTAACGCCAAATTCCTTTTTTTTTTTTTTTTTTTTCTAATTATATCTTATTATGAACTTATATCTGTACAACATTGCATTTCAAAGTATAGAGATGCGGACTTATATAATTGTAATTAATTTAAACTTGTTTTTAATTGAAATCTAATATCATGACCTTTTTAAAATAATAGTGGAACCTATGAAATTATGAAACTTAACATATCTAATTAATGGTGATTGGACCAAAATAAATAAATTTATATTCTAATATATAATAATAGTTGAATACAAAAATTTGAAAAAGTAAATACACATTCTCTTAATATAGAGATTCATAAATATTTTTTTTTTGAAAATAAATAAAAAAATTTAAAAGTAGGCATGGTCTTTGAAAGCATGTGGAAATAGGTTGAAATAATAGTTGAAGCATGAGTTGTTAGAGAATAAATAAACCATGTGGAGAAATATTGATCATTGCATTCAAAGGAAAAAAAAATGATTAATGTGAACCATTGGACTTTTGGTTAAATTATAAAACTTGTTCAACCTCCATGAAAAAAAAAAATTGTTCAACCTCATTCTCCTCTCTTATAAATCTATAATATTATTTTTTAGAATTTTACTATATGATATGAAAAACTTGTTCAACCTCCATATATATATATATATTAAAATATGTCAATTTTACATGTAATTTTTTTGGTTTGATATCATTTAGATTTAATGTTTTGAAAAATGCTTTATCTATAGGTATTTCTTATCAGAAAAAGCTTTTTTCTTTCTCATCAAAAGAAATAATTTGTGTCAATTTTCCTCTTGTCCGCTTCTTCACATTGAAATGATAGGGTTTACTAATGTAATGGAAATGACCTAATCTAATCATACTCGAATGATGAGGTCTTAAAATAGGATTGTGAGGTATTGAACCTTAAGCCCATTGCGGAAGGAGAGTAAAGAAAGACGTCTTTATTGTTATACTAATCTATGTCTTCTCACACAAACCTTTTACACATAATATTTCATATCTCACGGATGTATATGTTTTTGAATGTTGGATCAAAGACCCATCAAAATAATTTATATATAGATGCATAAATATATTTGTGTGTGTGTGAATGTGACATTCAGAAACATGTACAAGCAAGAAACATAACGTAAAATTGATGTTTGAGGGCTGTAAAACTGTGACAAATAACTTTGGTACTATCTTGTATAAATATAATGCTACATTTCTTGCTCCTATATATTATGGTGAAAGTATAGTCCTCCGAACAATGACCTTATATATATGAGCACATAAATACGTATGTACATACGTACGTGTGTGTATATATTTATATGTATATATCAACACACAAACATGATGAAGAGTTGAAATTGGAAATAAATTAAATGAGAAAGTAAATGCTTGGTGAATTTTGGGTATATAACATGTATTATTTGAGAATTCTTAACCTACTCATAGTTTAAGTCAGTGGTTAAATTTTTAACGGATATATATTAGAAAAAAAAATTATGTGTAGCGTACTGTAAATTATTAACGCAGACACTAACATATCTATATTGTTGAAAAATTAATCCCACAGCTAATATATAAGTTCTCATATTATATATAATATGCCCTTTTCATCCTTCAACCACAATATATGTTAATTAGACCGTTCTATCCATCTCCATTTGACAGGAAAATCCAATTATTTTCTCATATATATAAATATTAATAATTTTCCTCCTAATAAAACTGCAACCATATTCTTCGTATTAATTCTGTAAATTCAAAATTGATCTTACTCAGTACCATCACAAAGGACACTGTTCCCCCTCTTAAGGTATTACTTACACTGCCACTTTGAGAAGCACAAAGAAAAGAGAGATCAGAGAGATAAAATGGAAAGGAATATAATCCCAATAAAAGCTAAGGAATATAGTGATTATACGTGATGAACATCATAGAAAGTCTTGACAAAATTCCAAAGGCATATATTCTTTCTTTAGGCACTTTTGACTCCTTGGCTTTTCTTCACTCTACCACCAACTACAAGCAAGCAAGCAAACATAATTCACGTCCCCTAGCTGTGACATTTGATCATGGGTTCTATGAGCAAAAACATTCCTGAGCATACACTCTACTTTCATTTTATCGGAAAAGGAATGTTCTTTTTATGACTTTATTGATCATCCTGCATTCCCTTGGCCTATGTTTATTATTATATACATGTATGTATAAGTTGGAGAGTGTATACATGTATTTGTGTACGTATATTTACATCAATATTAAGGGAAAAAGATAGAGCATAATCTTTATAATCCCTTTCCTTTCTAAAGGGCAGCATTCCTGTAGATTTACTCATTGAAGTGAGTTCCAATTTCACCCGTTGATGCCGGGTTCACTTTTCTTAGAAAAAATGAAGAATTTACTCTTACTGAGTCTGAGCCTTTACCCCTTATTCTTAATAAATACCCTTTTGTTAATGTAATTATTTGGCTAAAAATGTTATGAATCAAAAGTAGATAAAAATCATGGCCCATGCACTTTTAAAAAGTAGGGAAATAGTAGAAAATATGCCAATATGAAAAGCTTAAGAAAGTGTATAGGCCAATTTTTAGTTATAGAAATTAATAGGCCATAACTTGTCAAGTTATGGTTCATAACCAGATAAGTAATGGATAAATTTGTCAAGTTATGGATAAATTTGTCAAGTTATGGTTCATAGTCAGACAACTTATGGACAATAACTTGTCAAGTTTCATAACCAGACAAGTTATAGACGAAAACAGTAATTTGGCATATTTATTAACTTATGTAAACTATTGACCTATTAATTTTAATTCATCTCAAGTATTAACCTATTTTCCTCTTTCTCCTTAAAAAGTATTTATTAAGATTACCCATTTTCTTATCTTTCAGTATGGGCCAACTAGTTAGAGGAGGAGAATATGGTTTATGGGGTTTAAAAGAGAAAAGTACGTTTCTTTCCAAAAAAAGAAAAGAAAATAAAAGAAAAGTATGTGGTGGTTTTGTACAAGCTTATTATTTAGCATTTTTAGCACAATTGTCTCCAAATTTATCGTGGTTTAGTAAATTACCTCTTAAACTTTTAATTTTAACAATCAATCCCTTGAACTTATAAAATTATTATAACGTGCCCCATTTTACTAAATTTGTTCAATTTTTTATTAGATTTAAGGGATTAGAAGTTGATGAGTTGAAATATTTGTATTACATTTGAATCGGATGTTTGAATTTTTTGTCTAACGTGCTTTTTCGGCACTAATTTAACACAATCATCTTCAAAATAAAATACATTGCAATAATTTTATAAGTTTAAGGGGCAACTTGCCAAAATTAATATTCAAAGGGCAAGTTGCTAAAACCATATAAGTTCAGAGGGTAAATGTGTAAAATACCCTATTATTTATGTAATTCTAAATAATTAGATGTCATTGTGGCCTTTTATTACAATTGTTTATTTTTTAATAAAGGGGCATAAATAATATTTTCTTATCACCATAAGTGGTATTTCTGGTTTTGTCCATTTTAAAACCCCAAGTTTTCCTTCAACCAATTTAATGGATTTGAAATGTGGAGACAATTTAGAAAATGTTGCAATTCACTTATTCTTTTATGCCATTCCTTTTAATTCTGTCTTTTTAAAGATAATAATACATATTAAAAAAGAGGGGCAAAAATCTTTTATTGTTTAGAAAAAAGTGCGTACATTTTTTGCTCACTTAATTACTATATCCTATTATTTTCCATTAAATATAACGGAGGTTAGAACAAAAGAGAAAATTAGGGTAGATTTTGTTTTCTTTTTGCTAATCAATTAGCGTAGAAATTTAGAAGTATAGAAAGTCGACATGGCGTAGCATATAATTTTCTTTTTAATGGGAATAAGCATATATATAAATTCGACATTATAGAGATGCACTAAGTTCATAAATGATAAAATCTTATACTATTTAACAAAGGGTATCTTTTGCTTTAGATGGGTGTTCCTCTAGATTTTCCTTAGCCAAACGTCATACCAAAAAGTCTCGATTGATTTTTGGCGTTCAAGAAAAGTTTTTACCAGAAAATGTAACACCAACACATTTAAAATATCAATTATATCACGAGACTAGTACATGGTTTGTCATGATTTTGTATAAGTCTTTTATTTATATCATTCTAAATAATTGGATGTCATAATAGTCTTTTCTTTTCACTAATCTAATAGTAATTATTTATTTTTTAGAGAAGCGGCATAAATAATAATTTTTACTATTTTGAGTGGAATTTTTGGTTTTTTTTTCTCTCCCTTTTATCTCATTAAGTTCTGATAGTACTCATAGTTAAGCGTCAGTATCCTATCGTGATTCAAGGGGTAGTTCACAATGATACTGAAAATACTATTGACCGTGAAGTATCCTACTGTGATACTTTATGGTCGCCAACGAAAACTATCGGTATCCTTACTGCGGTAGTTTGTGACTGCCACCTGCGGTACGGGAGGTATCCTATTGTACTACCAACAGTATCCATTATTGTCGCCGTTATTCCATATAAAGTACTCGCAAAATCAAGCTCCGAGCCTGCGATACTTCTGAGCAACGAAAATCTCTGTGCGGTGTCGGATGTCACGGATACGGTACTCCGGATCAAAAGCTTGGGAGTCGCAGAATTGAGGATCACTTCGTAAGATCCATGCATCGTTGTTATCGCATGACTCCAGCATCGCATCTTCGGGATTTCATGGCTGGATCCGCACAGTGCAGTGCCAACGTCCACTGATCTTTTTATTCTTATGGAGCTACGTTATTCACTGCACCGCTGCAACAAGGTTGGATTTGCAACATCCACCGGTCATGTGTGTTAACTGCGTTCGCCGGAGCTAAGTGATCAGACGAATCTACGACATCCAGCGGTGTAACTAAGTAGAAATTTTCTTTTTTGGTAAAACTCAAGAGACCTATGGCAGGATATGACATATTTGCAATTTGAGTGAATATTAAGGTTAAGAAAAAATCAACGCAACGTTTTCAGTGAAAATGGCATAATCTGCAACAATTTTTACCGCGTGGAAAAAGTCTATCCCATATCAGATCAAGTAGCAGTGCGCATAATTTTTTTCAAAAAAAAAAAAAAAAAAAATGAAGTGTTTTATAACTAGCTAATTTTGTTTAGAGAAATTTAGAGGAACACCCATGTAGTAAGGGATATAAAGATTTAAGTACTTTTTTTTTTTTTAATAATATAAGATTTTCATCCTCATTTTCTTCCTTTAAATGTGAGAATTTTACGAGACCGTCACAAAACTAAAGAAGCAAATTAAGGGGTAGATTTTCTAGTTTTCTCTTTTGTACATAGATGATCTATGATTTGGTGCATGTTAGTAGGTTACCTTTTTTTTTTCCTCAACTTGGTGCATGTTACGTAAGAGTATATGTATAGATTCTCTACTTCTTGAGTTATTGGAGACTTCTTTGCACATGACTTTATTTTCTGTCAAGGAAGAGAGAACAAGTTTTTCCTTCCAATCAAACGAACAGAGGGAAGAAACAAAAAGAATAATTATATATATATATATATATATATATATTTAGCTGAAGAGAATGACTAAGTAAATGAATGTGTTGAAAACAGACGCTAGAAGGTAGCTGAGCTGGTCCGTCGCAATTGGTATTTGAAATCGAGAACGTTGTTATTTTGACTCCGAGGTAAGTCATGTATCTCCATAATTTCCTGCAACCAACAAATTAAAATCAAGAACAACCTTCTAGTCCGTGTTTTCAATACATTTGTCAACTATTTGCATGCTATACTCTATAACTGAGACTGAAAAATAAATACGTAAAATAATTTGCTTAATACAAACTAAATGGAACTGTTTACGTGTGTGCATATATACATATATATGCGTATATGATTTACTTGCCAATGCAATCACTTATCAACAACCCGTCTCTTTTTTTTTTTTTTTAGGAATAAAAATCAAAAGTGTATATCAATTCTCGATATTGTTTAAGCATTTACTGAATGAGCAACTTTGAATTTTATACTCTAATAAAGAGGGACGGAGTTAGAAAGAATAATCAGCGAGACGTGATTGATCTAATAAGGTGAGGCAAATAAAGAGATATAAAATTTTAAAAGATGAGAATATAAATTTACAAAATTGATATACAAAATTAAAAAGAAATGGCCGTCCATCCTCGTACATGGGGTGGCTCCACCACGAGAGTAGATTTGATTTGGGGGTTCTAACTCTAATGTTTCTAATCAAATGCTCAAAACCATAGTTATCAGCACTAGTCTTTTTATATATGTGCCAAGCCAAATCAAGTCCTCTATCAAGCAATATTCAAGCACACTCCCAAAGATAAAATCAACATTTATTTATTTTATTCACTCTCTTTTTCTCAGAGTTGAATTCCACGAAATTAGCTCTACTGATCGACAGTGAAATCTCCCACTGCCCATCAGAGATATCGCGTCTCTCTTTAGAACTAAAAAAATCAACATTAACACATTTGAACAAAGGATCAATATGTTGAGAATAAAGCAAACAAAGGAAAATGTTTGAGACCGGTTTTTGCAATTTGTAATGGTACCTTTCTCAGTTTGAGCCGGCCATTCCGTTTCCTCAAGCGATACACTTCTTGCTCCAACCAATTTGTATGGGCCTTAAATCATTCAAGAAAAAAAAAAAAAAACGACATTTAGAAAAATGCGCAATGTGTGAACTCCTTGCCGATAATTACAAGTTACTAACGCAATTATTTCTTGCTAAGCAATAATAAATATGTGTATTACTACTCATTACAAAGAAATATATTTTCAGGACGGAATTTTTATTTTTTTTGGTCAGAAAATGCAATATATACCGACAAAATTTCGTCAAAAACGATGACATATATCACAACTCATTTCGGGCCATTATTATTATTGTTATTGTTATTGTTATTGTTCTTATTATTATTGTTGTTATTCTTATTATTGTTGTTGTTATTCTTATTGTTATTATTATTATTCTTATTCTTATTATTATTATTATTATTATTATTGTTATTATTATTATTATTATTATTATTATTATTATTATTGTTATGGTTATTGTTATTGTTATTATTATTATTGTTATTGTTATTATTATTATTATTATTATTTTCAAATTCAGAATGGGGATTTAAGCTCTATACCTTAAATTTAGTCACGTTTGAATTTACTACTAGACATTATCTACAGTCATCTAAAAAAAAAAAGTATTATAACCCCTCGAATTTTATCTCAAAACCACGCATCTCTATATTTTTTTTTCTCTCTAACAAATTCACCCCTCTCTAAATCACTCTCTCACCTTCTCACTCCCTCAATGTCTCTCTAAATTTTTCCACTCTCTGAATCTTTCTTGACAAGCAATAATTATATGTATCCCTAGTGCTAGTAATTGTTTTGTAACATATCTGATATCTTCACAAGTAACAACTAAGTTTTATTATATTTCTTGACATGTCTAACCTTTTCTTTTTTTTTTTTTTTTTCGTTAAGAAAAGAATGTAAATTACAATAAAAATAAAAATAAGAATGAAAAAGAAGCTCCAAGTGAAACCTGCTTTCTTGCTCTTGACCTAGCAGCGGACTCACGGTTCTTGATCATCCTCTTCTGCTTCTTTTCAATGTTTTTCTCCGTCAAATCATCTGAACACAACCGACTCCTTTTCTCCGCCGCCTGATAATCCAAAGACGTCAATGGAAACTCCGGCATAGAAGTGCAAAGCTTGCTCTGATCCGAGTAACCAACGTCCAAAACCGAGCTCTCATATTCCGAAACCGGGCAATATCCCGAATCCACCATAGTCATCTGCTGCTGCTGCTGCTGTTGCTGTTGTACGGACGCCAATTGAAACTGCAGCCAATCTGCCTGCTGTGACGCCGCAATCATCGGATCATTAGGCACGACTGGCTGCACATAGTCCGGGATTGCGCTTAGGTTTTCGACGCCACTTCGAGCTAAAAAATTCTCGATCACATCCGTATCTCCTAAAGTACTGATCAGCTGTTGCTGAATCTGAACAGACTGTTTGTCGTCCTCGAACGTTCTCATACTCAACGCCCCGCTGGAATCGAAATTCGCGAAAAGGTGCGAAGCGGAAGAGGAGGAGGAAGAAGAAGAAGAGGAAGAGGGACATGATGAAGGGTTGTGATGAAACTGCATTTCTTCAATGGATATCTCGTCCTTAAGAAGCTCAATGAAACGCACGTTGTGGAAATTACTGGGTTTTCCTTGGAAAGTTTCCAAAGAGAGACTCTGCGCTCCATTTGGAGACACCATTAGTGAGTCTACTCTCTAATTTCTTATGAAGAATGGTCAATTAATTTAATTAAGTCAGTCGGTTAGACTCTTTCTTTAATAATTAAAAAAAAAGTAAAGGAAGAAAAATCTGAGCCGCCAAAGATATCTAAATCAGCCAATAAAAACGGTCTGTTTTGTTGAAGACGATCTCATTTTCAGCTCGATATATATATAGAGAGAGAGAGACTATATCTAACTGACCGACCCGATTTTGTTGCTAGTTTTATGGAGTTATTGAGAGGATGAAGTTGGAGACTCGACTAATGAACTAACCACCCCAATCTCACATACACACACTTTCTCTCTCTCCAGTTTCTTTTGTATCAAGCATTGTGTTTTTTTTTTTTTTTTTTGAAAAGTCAAGCATTGGTTTTTAGTTTCTACCCAAAATTCGAAAGCTGATTTTCCAAAAATAAAAATAAAAATAAAAGTTGTAATAATAATAATCGAAAGGTGATGTTTTGAAAAGGTTTTAGCTACCGATCATCTGATTTTTGGCACGTGTGGCAGTTATGACAGTTAAGTCGGAAACATCATTGGGCCCATTAGACCACTTCTGAGGCTGGGCTTCTGGATGCCACCATGCCCATGCCCATGTCCGGCCTGTTGAAACATGAAAGCGTGGCAACTAGTAAGTCAGCTCATCTCTACTACTTTTGCTAGATGATTATTTTTCCCCCTCGATAGAAAGGATATCTTTGGTGTTATCTTGTCTAAAGAAAAATTTAGTCCACTTTTGATATCGTTCCAGCAAGTTTTACTTATATTCTTATTATATAAGTTAATATGGTTCAGCTGTATATATTATATGTACAAGTATTTTCCACATTATTAAGAAATCTTGAGATTTATGTGGCATCTCACTTCTACAATTTGGCCTATTACTTGTCGTTGCTCGTCGCAAACAAGTAAATATTTGTGGCGTCGCAAATATTTTCATAAAACTAAAAAATTAATGTCATCGCCAAAACGTCACATGTTGTCACAAATAATAGCTTGGCACCAAATCTCATATGGCGCGAACTTTTACCACCAAAATAATGTCACCGCAAATAAAATTTATTTTATTTTTTTTCCCGAGCAAAAAGGATTATTTTGGCGGGTCGCAAAATGTTTTTGCGATGACATTAATGTGTGTCGTTGCAAAAAGTGATTTTGTATTCCCTCAGTAAAATAGAAGGCGGAGAAAGTGGGCGGGTCCCCAAATATCATTTGCAACGACATTACAGCTGTTGTCGCAAATAAGAATTCCAGAACCTTCCTCCCACAACACTTGTCGGCGCACATAATGAGGTGTCGTCGCAAAAAGTCTTTTGTGTCGTCGCAAAAAAGTCTGTTATATGCCCACGAGCGGAGCCTCCTCCTCCATTTTTTCCGATCGGCTTCTCTCTCTCTCTCACTCGGCCTCCCATCGTTTTCTCCGGTTTTCTCACCCCAAAATCTTAAAATCTCTTTGTATTCTCTTCAAAATCAACAATATTATAAGTTTTATTTGTTTTTTCATCTAAAAAATCCCAAAATCTCAAAGTCCGCCACCACCGCCGAAATTCGCTGCCGCCCTTTGTCCTTGTTAATCTTGCCGTTTTCAACCCCCGTTTCAGAGGGTTTGAATTTTTTAAGTTTTTTTGGTCCGAATTATTGTATTTGTTAGTTTAAAATTTATGAGTTTTTTGTTATTTGAATTGTATATAATTATAGATTATAAATCTTAAAATTTGATTTATAGATTTTAGAATTAGTATATAATTTAAAATTTGGATTATAGATTAAATTTTAGATTATGAATTTTGAGATTGTTGAAATTTAATATTGAGATTTTTGAAATTTTAAGATTATAATTTGATTTAGGTTGAGATTAAAAGTTTTAATAATTGTTCTGGGTGGCACATCTTGCAGTTATGGTGTGCCGAAATCTTTTAAAAACTATTTTTTACAGGTTTAAATTTTTGGATAATAAAAAAAAATGTCGTTATAATGCCGAAATTTTAAGCGCTTCCAGCTCATCATCTACTTCGCAATCGGACGGGTCGTCTTCGGTTAATTTGCTCCAGCATGTCCAAAACTAGCTGAACAACCTCTACATCGAGCAACACAACATGTACGACAATCAGTAGATCATGATGGAAGTCATGCGCTCGATGAATCCCAACATCAACTTCTTGCCAGTTTACCGCCCCCAACCATTGGTTCCTCCGCCGCCTGAGCGAAACGAAGAAGACGAGGATGAGGATGACAATGCTGCTAATTTAGGAGATTAAAATATCTGTTTTTATTTTTATTTTTATCAATTCTTTTTAGTATTTCTTAATTAATTTACTTTTTAAGACTTATTTTATTACTGTGTTGACTATTTTATATCAATTATATTATATTATTTTATTATAAATTTTCTTTAAATTTTTATCTTTACTAATTAATATTATTAAGAAAGTACAAAAAAAGAAAATACTATTTGCGATGATATTTCTAAGGTGTCGTCACAAATAGTTCACATTACTAGCGATGACGGTGTAGTCGCAAAAGGTTTAAAAGACTTTTGCGACGACACTATGTCGCCACAAATGCTCTATGACACGTTATCATCAACGATATATTTGATGGAACATTCGTGGCAACTTATTCGCGACGACTGTCGTCGCAAATATATTTACGACGACATCTCAAAATTTTATCGTTGCAAATATATCATTTGCGTCTAATTTTTTACGGCGACTAATTTGCGATGACATGTCATCAAAAATACAGTTTTTGCGATAACATATCATCTATTTACAATGACATTGAGTCGCCGCAAATGACTTTTTTGTTGTAGTGGATCTCCATTATGGGGTGTTACATCTTGTTCTCTCCGGGTATAGAAGAAATTTTGAAAGCTAACTAATAGAAATTAAATAACCGAAATTTTAATTAAAGAATGTTTTCAATTTCACTACCACCATCACCAGCCCATAGTCACGGTTTATTGATCTGGCAGGGATTGAAACTATTCCGAGAAAGAAAGAAAGAAAAAAAGAGAGGAAGAAAGAAAGAAAGACAGACAGACATCTTAACCATTTCGTAACCTTATTGGTGGTACATTGCTAGATGACTTGTATTTGGGTTTTGAGAAATGAGACCCATGGTTCACAAGGCATTTTCATATATTGTTTTTCCAGACATTTCGAGCATTAGAAATTACATAAGATAATTGTGGGGCTATGACCTTAGTTGTGACTAGGATGAAATGAGAAATGAAATGAGAAGGATATAAGGAATCATTTTGTGCCTGTGCACACCGAACCTCGGACGAATTATAACAATAAAACGTGGAAAAATCTGATCAAGTAAAATAAAGTTTTTTGAACTCAAATAAAACAAGGTTCGAATTATGTAAGAACATGCTAAGTAACCTATCCTTCGCATGTTTAATAAGAAATATTTGTTAGCTTCCAGTTTTTTGTTGCACCGCTAGGGAATATTCCAAGTGGTATTGCCACTTTAGACTTTGAGGCACAGCCTGTGGCCCCACCTTAATGCTAATAAACTCTAAAGTCTTAACAAAAAAGTTCTTAAGCGGAATCATAGAGATTTAATTCGAGTTCTAGGACCAACCAAGATTAGCATTTAGCATATAGTGAGGTTAGAATAGTATAAGTTAATGCACCAAAGGATGTCAAAGACAAGAATTAAAGGATCTACTAAACGTCTAACCTAGCTTGCCCATAAAGTTAGTATTAGTTCCTTGGAAAAGTCCTTGTATTGGTATATATCCTTCGACGTACCTTTTTTTAATTGGAAATGAGGAGATTCGAACTCTTGATCTGAAATAAGAGGTAGACGTGTGAGTTTACCACTGAGCAATATTTTGCAACCACCATTTGACTTACATATGATCAATATTATTTCTAAATATTAACTAAATATTCTTTTTATTAAGACAAAAATAAAAGCCAAGTAGGGGTGTGAAAAGGGTAAAGTATATATAGTGAAGTGGGTGTTTGTCTGTGTTAGTGACATGCAAGAAAAGGTTTTTCTGTACTTGGCCCTTATTGCCCTGAGTTCACACCAGACATACTTAAAGACGGTAAAAACTCGTCAACAGAAATAGGCCGGGTCACCATTAGGTATCTCGTTGGATTACCGGCTTAATATTGACTGTATACTCAATATATGCAGTGAAGTGTTTGAGGTATTTTCTGTGTAGTGAGCAATATGAGCAAAAAATACTTGAAGTAGAAAAAACACACAAGATTTATAGTGGTTCATTCTTATAAAATGAAGAGCTACATCCACTGTAGATTTCTATTTCTTTTGAGTTTGTTACAATTTACACCATAAATCGCTCTCTCGTTCTTTTCTCTCAGGAAAGATCAACCTCCTTTCCGTATGAGGCTTCTCTCCTTTATATAGCCGAGCTTCCTTCGTCGGGTGGGTTTTCTTTGTAGGCTGAGAAGCACTCAAGTGGTATGCCTTTCTAGGCCCAGACCGTAGCCCACTAATCACTTTTGCGCACTGTTCACTCAGCCAATTAGTCTCCCATTACGGCTCTGTGCGTAGCTGTAACCCTTTTCTGTCCCCCATAGGGCGGTTTAAGGGTTTGCATTTAATGCCTGTACTGCAGACATCTCCCATTTCGACACGCAACTTGCGATGTCAGGTTTTCCCCTCTTTGGGCATTCCTCTCGCCGTCTCTATCTGCTCAGCCTAGTTTTCTTTCTTGGCAATTGATTTCTTCCTGAAGGATTCCTGCCGTAAGGTCGACGGTACGAACTGTCGTCGTCATGAGGAGTCACCGTCGAAGGTTGGGCTTCCCTTGTAGCAGAAGGAAAGGGAATCCCCCCCGTCGAGGGTTGTTGCCTCTTGAGGGAAAGCAGGGCCACGTGTCGCACTGTTGTTTACCCACGCGTCATCCACATTTTCCCACACAACAGCTGCCCCTCAAGTCGAGGGTTTCTTTTAGACAGCCTCGAGCTTAGGTTCGGTCGTACCTTCGTGCTTTG